TTCCACTACCAAAGTTCCTTTCCTACATAGTGAGCAGAAATCACAAAAGTCCTTAATAAACACGGTATTCTGACTGAGATACTGCCTAGCATTAAAATGGAACAATATACTTGATCAGATTAACACATTCATGAGATCTTTCACAAATTGCAAAGATGGTGACTTCTGAATTTATTTAAATGACAATTGCAACATACATACATTTGTGCCCCGGGCTTGGAAACCATTGGCATGCCCTCTCCTAAAGCATTAGTGTTAATGATTTAATTACTATCAATATTTTTCCTTTCCCATCTTGTTCTTTTTTTTTGTTGTTGTTGTTCTAATTATCAAAATTATTGTGAAGACCATATTTCATATAGTAGTTTAGACCACTGGAGGGACACAAGGAGGGTTTTGCCCCTCATTTTCATAACCTCTCTTGAAAATCTTCATGGCCTCTTCTCTTGTCCTTTTATTTACATGCCAAAAGGGAATCTCTCTAATCACAGAACAAAAACGCAGAGGCATTTTTTGAGAATTTTACGCCTCAATAAGTAATTTTCAGGGGGGAAGGAAAGAATTCATTAGGCCAAAGAATGTGAAATGTATCAGAGATTAAAGTAGGATGCAAGGTGTGATGCTTGCTGCTTCTTTCATGTGCACCAGCAGATGTGAAGTTTAAATCCTGGGTGGGGTTGTATCTTCACCCTGGAAGAAAATAGATATTCTCCTAAGTAGGGCTATGCTGGAAGGGTCTCAGACTAGCTCCAGACATTCAAAATTGCAACTGATTCCCAACTGGCTATTAAAGATGGCCTCCCCCAGACACTGCACCATTGACAGCATCCTTCCCCAGCAGCTCTTTCAAGACCAAAAATCTTTGACCTGGGCCCTGGCTCTACCCTCACACTTGAAACTTGATGTTACTTTCCAGAGGGAGAACTAGATATCTTCCTGCTATCTCCTGGACTCTGGGGCTGAAGATAATACTTGCTTGGGACTTTCCAGCAAATAAAAATTGTGAAAAAAAGACAGACAGACAAAATGGTGAAGCTGCAAGTCTCGACTTGGCCATTCCCTTTGCGCAAGGTGGTTCCTGGGCAGCCTGTGATGACCTCCCTTCCCAAATCCTGGCTACTTTTGACCAGGAGCACGTCCTGGCCCTTTGGCATGCTGGGATGAGCAGGGGATCTCAGAGTCCCTCTTCAGTGCCCCTCATGGCCACTCCGCTTCAGTATCCTACTGAACCAACACAGTGAGCAGGCCCTTGATGAAAGAGGTCAGGCTTTCCAACAAGCTATGCAGGAGATCTGGACATGCAGTCACATTAGTATTCACAGTTATTGGAGACTTATGCACTCTAGAGGACTTTCTGCCTATTTTTCATTACCTGTAAGTAGCCCTTCACCTTCCTCCTTTCTCACCATAACTGAGTGGCCCAGCACCCCTGGCTGCAACTCCTTAATTGGCTACTGCAGAAATAACGCAGCTGACCTGCTGAGGCATTTCTCAATATCCCAAACTCATCCTCATTTCCTTTCATTACATCTCTACCTGTCACGTTCTTTGTGGAGAAAGGAACAAATGCATTAATTATACTGCAGTGAGAGCTCCCGCCTGAGCCTCCCACCCTTTGTTGCCTCATGACCTCACAGAGATTTCACTGAAAATGTATAATTAGGTTCTGCAAAGTAACTTCCTGAATGTACATGCTCTTTTCAAATGTGGGTACCCTAAGTGGTGGTGTGTGTTTTCAGAGCTGCTTCAAATGCCACTTCATTCTTCTAGCTTTTATTTACAAAATTACATTTACTTATCTTTTTACATCAAAGACAAATCCATTTCAAAAAACCTTTGAGCCCGTGGACGATGTCACTTACTGGCCTGGATTTTACATATGCTGAAAAAGGTGTTATAGAGAGTAGCTATAGATAGGCAGTGTTGAAAAGGTTGTGTTTGCACATGAGCTTGTATGTGTTTGTCTGTCCATCCTTGCACTAGTTTGCCAGAATATGTAAAGAAATTCCGTACCAAGCAGGGGTTGATTTAAACATGATCTGAAGTTCTCTGCTAACACAGGGTACACCAAAGCTCATTCCGTGCTGAATCTGTGAGGAAGTGCTTTTCAGATAAATTAGAAATTAATGTAATACCTCTTGTGAGCTTGGAGTATTTTTCTTTTCCTCTAATCCCTCTCTTCAAGTGGGGTCTACTTATGGACTTTGTTATGGACTTTGAATGATCATCGTTGTCATGATGGTGATGAGTTGTTCAGGAGGAGTGTTCCTCAAAAGCATACAGATTCAAAATTGATCTAGCTTCCTTAAGACATTTACTGCAGACTGGAGTCCATGTAAGACACATAACTCCCTCTCACCCAGGATGTGCTTCAGCCTGGGCTTTGAGAGCTGCCTCGTGTCCAAAGGACCTTGCTCTCCAGGACTGCTGGCGGCTGAAGCTGAAGTCCAGTGTGCCAGTGTGTCCTGCTCTGGCTGTATCTTTCTTTGTAGATCAGGGTTGAGTGCCTCACCTGACAGTGAAAGTAGCCTGCGAACCAATGAAAACTTATAGGCACGGAAGTTATACCTGCTCAATAAGAGAACAGCTCCTGCCTTTACAAGGTAGACCTCTACATTGGCAAGCTGTTTTAACCTGCAATAAATGCATGGATCAGGCAGACCAGATCCCACTCCAGGGACAAAAAGCAAGCAAGAAAGCAAGCATTTTATGATGACCTGTTTTTCCCTATCCCCAGCATTAGGAGATTGTTTGTATGCTGACAGTAGTTCCAGAAGAGGCCACAAGACCCAGGCAGGCAATGCTTTTCTTGGAGAGCAGCGCTTTTGAAATGAGAAACAGACAATGAAAATAAAGATGGACTAAAACGTATAAGCAAGGGGAGTTTGATGGACCAGCACTGTGGTTTCTTGCTCCTTTTGTGTGGATGGTTCCTGCTTGCACTCCTGGTGCCTCACCTTACCTCCACTCACACCTCCATGCAACCTGAATGAAGCCTTCAAAGCATCATAGTTGCATATAATCAGTCTCATAATGCACATTTTTTTTTATATGTTTATAGGAAAAGTCAGGACACTAATAAATGCATAGAGCTACCTAGAACATTTAATTATGCACTTTTGTTTTTCAGCTTCCATTTAGGAGAAGAGCTGAATTGCTACATCTTAAACAATGTGCTTTACCACTTCAATAGCAGAAATTTACACACTCAAACTAAAGGAAGAGTGAGCAGTGATATAACGGATGCTCTGCTTTTCACAATAAGCACATCTCTTCCTGGCTAAATAACTATCAGTGCAGATTTTGTCACATTTTATTACATAATGTCCAGTCCCAGATCTTTCTATTTTCAAGAACTATTTTCTCAGTGATGCCCTAAACGGATCTAACTAAAAAAAAAAAAAAAAAAAAGAGCAATTACAAGATTGTTTGGATCCCTGTGATATACTTTTATGATATACTCATACCTGTCCCATTTACCTACTTCCCAGCAGGGCTTGCTAGCTTGGCCAACAGCTGTATCAATTTGGCCACCAGAGATTGTACTGACTCAGGAGATGGCAGGGTGAGCTTTTTCCTGCGTGTGGATGTATTTCTGTACTAAACCTGGGCAAGTCTTCCTGTGAGATAGTCAAGTCTCTGTAACACAATGGGTGTCTTATATACTTGAGGTGTCTGCATTGCAATGAGATTTTTCTGAATTTGATATGTTAATTTTACAGAGGAAACATCTTGGCACAAGTAGAAGGAAATGTGGGGGGAAAAAAAGCAAGACAAAAGTCTTTAAGAGATGAACTAGCAGGAGTTTCTGTTCTGGCACTCGATCCTGTTCTTAAACACCTACGTTCCCCAAAAGGTGCTGCGGGGAAATAGGGAAGCAGCTGTGATGGCAGCAACAGGCAGGGACTGCAAGTATAGTGAGGAGCTGAGGAGAAGGTGGTAAGGCTCAGTGCTCTTTTAAGACATGGCACATCATGTAAAAGTCACGCTTTTCAGGCATGCTCTTGGAAGATCTAGGCACAAGTACAAGGAGGTGGTTTGAAATTACTACATATGTCGTCTTGATATATTTACACTCCAGGGACCACCCACATCACAGGATGTGCTTGAATTGCTCACCAAGCTTTCCTCTGGAGTCGAGATGATATTACAGATTCTCTTTTTCCAGAACACAAGAAATATTATCAACTTTCTGAATTATTTTTATTATTACAGAAGATTTTTTAAAAAAAAGGTCCTATTCTTGAAGATCTTTCAAGCAGTGGGGGAAATCTTTGCACCTTTTCAGCTCCTTTAACTGCTGGTTACTTAATCCTAGCTTGTAAAAAAAAATGCTTAGAGGTAAAAACAAACTCCTCTTCTTTGTGAGCCAGCTTAAGTGAGTTGAGGAAAGGATACGGGAAGGGAGGATGAAATTCTCATTAGAAAAGATGCATTATTTTCTACGTTTATATGACAGTGAAATCCTTGTGGATACTCTTGTGCACTGAAACAATATATTTTATTTTTAATTGTTTCAGTCAATGTCAATTTTACATCAAACATGCAATAAAGTAAAAATGGCCTTTGGGAAACATCACTGAATCTTATTTTGTGCTGCAGTAATGCCAATGTAAATATCTACTTCTGTTTTGTAAGCTCAGAGCCAAATGGAGCAAAATTTTCCTTTCAGAGAGACTACTGACCTGTCAGCATCAAAAATATTATTTTTAGCATATAAAAATTGTTTGTCAGTGATTGTAATAACAAGAATCTTTGCAAAATCCATTATTACTCTAGTAAACATTTTCCCTTGGGCAGTAATATTAGGAAATGAATTAAGAAGTTAATTGATAACAACTGGATAAGAAAAAATCATAAAGTGTCACATCTACGGAGTTACTGGGATAAAATATATTTTCTTTCTATTTAAATTATTAAATGTTTACAGTAGCTCAGAGAAAACATCAGATCTAAAGCATTTTGGTAAATTATAATTTATTCTACTGTTTGCTTTCCAGAATGCTAGAAGATGACCTCAAGTTAAGCAGCGATGAAGAAGAGAGTGACCAGGTAAGAATCAGACAACTAACATGTCACTTGTAGCATGTTTCATGTCGAGACTGAGCTACTGCAAATATTTTGCTAATGCATTTTCAAAACATACATAAAGGTTATCAAAATACATGGAAGTAATGTAACTGGAGTAACAGATGTTGCTGTTTGGAGCCAGCCCGTGTGTGCTAACTGCTGGATTGGTGGGGAACAGTCTGCAGTGCTCTTGATTTATTATCTTGATGTGACCCAGAAGGTTTTTGTATCAGTCTCCTTCTGATTCGGATTTGGTTAGTTTTAAAGAGCGACCAAGGAAGGGAGAAACAGGAATTCTGGATTAAGGGTTCAGGCCAAACCTTGCAATCATGAGCTGGCCCCAGGGTTTAGGCACTGGGCTGCTTACCTCTTACCTGCCTAGAGCCCCACTGGCATCCCCCCAGACCTCTCCTCTCCTCTGAGCATTTTCAGTCCTGTCTGTGCATGGCCCATGCATGCTGAGAAGGCTAAGGACAGCTGAGAGAAAGCCTTCACTGTGCATTTGGTTTACTCCATAATACAGCAATTAGGGCACCTACCTGGGTTTTAACGACCCTGAACTACCTGACTGGGATCAGATACGTCAGCCAAAGTTTTCCATGTGTCAGGAGAGATTGTTTTTGTTGGTGGGGGCATGTGTCTCTCAAGTTTTCTTTAAAACATCGCTGTGTTTTGTCTAAAATTAAGTACTCACTAGAATAGGGCTGAATCTTGACTTTCCCATGGCCAGCCAAGTGCTTCATTGCCAAGCAGTGCTATGCCACACTCTCTACTTCTCAGTATACTGGCATTGGTCATTTGCTTGGGGATGAGAGGACAAGACCACTTCCCTTCCTTATTGCACTAAAATACTTGTCTTGTGCCCTCACCGGAGCATATGAGGGCAATATGGCCCCTAGTTGAATCTCACAGATGGATCCAGACCTGGATATAACATGGGTTTCAAATGTGATTGTTTCAGTCAAGGGTAACTGGAGCTATCAGAAATTCAGGATCTTAGAAAGATAATTCTAGGTATGTAGGCATGCAGTTCTTCCAGGGTTTTCTTGAACACTTGTTATTAGAAGTCTTTATTTTACAATATATTCAAAATAATAGGTAAATCAAAACCTTTTAATATTTATATTAAACCATTATTTCATCTATTTTGAGCAAAGCTTCTTAGTGTTAAGAAGATTCAGCGTATAGATTCAATTATTTACATATTTATACAATTTCTTTTTGTTTAATGATTTTCATCCTGAAATACTTCACATTTAATTATTCTTCCTGCTTGTCTAGATAGTTTAAAACACAGCACATCATAGACAGCATAGGGCAAAGTAAAGTGAAGTGAGGGACAGAAGAGATGTCTGAAGAATAATAATAGCACACCGAGATGCCATGGTGTTTGCAGTGAGGGGCTGGGTGGTAGGGGAGGGGGAAGACAGTGGTCAGGAGAGATGGCTTGTCCTTCAGGTGGGAAGGGAAATGGGATCCTGCGTAATTGATATCAGTGTCGAGCAGGCTGGAAGAGCCAGAGAGCTGAAATTCTGGTTTGCTTTGTAACAAGCAGAAAAGGACATGTGAAAGTGTATATCGTGCAGGAGATAAAAGAACATTAGCAGGTTTAGGCAGAGAAAGGATCATGGAAAAGTACTGTCGTTTGGGAGTGCACACATGGTACCTTCGGTCTAGCTTACCACTTACAACTATTAGCATCTTCCATGCACTTGGATTGCTCAGTATTATGTGTGCAATGCAAGGTTTTGCTCAGTAACCAGAGCTTTAAGGTACAGCTGATACAGCCTGGGTCTTTCACCTCAGTGCTCAAACAAGCTCTGCAGAGCCAAGACGGAGTTTGCCACCCGCACAGCAAAGAGCAGAGCTGAGATCCCATTATTCACTTCTAATCGTCATGGGCCCTAGTGTGAGCAACCTTCGGCAATTACTTTGTGATTTAGTCCTCTTTCCTAGTCACATTTTTTTCTAACTTGACTGTACAGATAAAAATATCCTGTAAGCACAGGCTTGCTCCTGCTATATGGAATGCTTTGCAAAACCTCAGCTGAGATCTGCAGGTTTGCTTAAAGAACAATATGAAATAAATATGCCGATAGATAAACAAAACACTGCGTTTCCATCTACCTCACAGGAAATAGGCCCAACAAAAAATGACACAGACCCCTTCTGCCAATAAATGCACAGATTATAACATGGATCTGTGTCTAAATGTCAGAGGGAGAACCAGTTTCCTTTTACTTCTAATTCTGAGGCTTTTTAATCTCAGATCTCTTCCTGAGCTCGGGAACAGGAGAGAAAGAAATCAAAGATAAAGGGATAGGAACAGTACATGAGTGATTCCCAGGTATTCCTTACATAATTAAATAACCTTTAAGCTATCAGACTCATTTTAGTCCAATTTGTCAATGAGCTGAAGGTGAGCTGTACAAGAACTGGGAAGCTTTTGATTTTGCTAATTTCTAAACAGGGAAGTTTAAGGGAAAGGCTTTGAAAACTTTGCAGGAGATTTTGCATTTCTGTCTGAAATCACTGGGCAGTGAACGGAAAGTTTCTGAAGCAGTGCAAGGGGGGGATGGGTGCTTCTGCACTCCAATGACTGGCATTTGGAGGGCTGTGACTGACTCAGGGAACATGAGCCATGGATGAGAGAGGCCAAATGTAAGGCAGAGGCATAATTAAGAGCTTCGGGATGGCAGTAGGCAAGGCATCCCCAACCCTTCCCTCCGTGCCAGCAATTAAGGTAGTGAGATTCACAGACCCAGGAGAAGCAAAAGAGTCTGAGTTTGAGCTGAGTGTGTGTGCGCCCACAGTAATTACATTATCCACACATATTAGTCTCTTAATTTTAATTACATAAATGTATTTTTCCTCTTTAATGAGCATAGTTTATCCATTTAAACTGATCGTTTCAATTTTACAGGCAATGATCATAGGATCTAATATGCAGAGGGAAAATTTCCTGTTGGCATATTTTACATCACACAGATTGAAGAAAATATACTTTTTAATCCCCAATCAATATCTGAGGAGCATGCAATTAACAGATACCAAGGTAGTTAACATAAATCTGCAAGTTAAAAGAGCCAATTCGTTTTGATTTAAAACACATAGAGTAATAATTTCATCATCATCTCTCTGAGAAAGCATCTGAAGCTTTGTAGCATGAAGATGTCAAAATTGTACTTAAGATTGTTCGGAGTACTGAATTGTAGTGGTTATTGCCTTTTGGTTCCTTGAAGTGTGGCATAGCACATGAAACAGACCCCATTATAATACCCTGCTCTTCTCCGTAGAGGTCACTGGATAACTTAAATCAGTCTTGGGTGAAATATTAAACAGAGATTGTCAATTGTAATATGAACAATTCTCTTTTTTCCCCCCTACTTGTCCTTTTACAATATGAAAATTTTGTAATAGAAAGTAGTTCCTTTAAGGGGAAAAAGATCCCTGGCATCATTTGTGAAATTCGTGTCAATCAACAGCCAAATAAATTAACTGACTGGTACGCATACATGGAATAATAATCTAATATTTTTGCAGCCCAAGTCTGCTTCCTTGTATGCATTTTTTTCTGTGCGGGATCAGGTTGGTTGCCACTGAAGTTTTGTGGCTGTGAAAATTTATTACCCACAGAGTCAATCTGCATTCTGGCTGCCAAGTCTGAATAAATAGAGTCATTGTGCTTGTCTGGAATATGCAACCAAAGTTCATCGAGTAAGCTTGACTTTCACATCCCATGGGGTTCATAAAAGCCAACACCCTGGTATGTGCTCTTGATTCCTGCCAACATTTTGTAAAATCGTATAAACAGAAGTTGAAGAAGCAATCAGAACACACTCCCAGGGACATGGCTCCGCACTCCAGCCCCTGCTGTATCTTGAAAGAAAAGACCCAACTTCAGTACTTTTTTTTTTTTTTTTTTAAATAACCACAATACTATCCCCCTGCAGGAGGAGGTAAATGCGGTGGCTGAAGACACCCTCCACGCCCAGCATACAGGGAGGCAGCAAACAGTCCTCTTGGGTTCATTAATTTTGCTCATATGCCCTGCACCAAAGGAAGAGGGAAGGCAGCGTTTACCTGCAAGTGGCTGCCCTGCTTAGAAAGGGACAAGGTCAGGCTGGCCCTGCAGGGTCTTAGCAAAACCAGCCCCTCCGCAGGCAAGACAAAACAAATAGAAAGCCATGTCGCTTCACAGGAGACTTTGGGGGGAAGAGCAGGCTTGAGAAAGTTCACCATGAACAACTTCAGCACACTAAAATAATAGTCTCAGCAGCCTGATCTGGCTCACCACTCGGAGACCCACAGGGCAATGGCAGCCAACCCAGCCTGGCGCCCACCTGGGAGTCCTGGGGCTGCCCCCCCACCCATAGCAGCCTGGGGACAGCCAGGGTGGGTTGGTGGCCCTGGGGGACCCATCCATGCTCCAGCATCACCCTGGCCGTGGCTGAGCTGGAAAACTTGATGCTAATTCGAGTTACACCCGCAGCTCCAGTGGGGACATATGTGCCTATGTTTCCTCCCGGTCACGTATGTGCTGAGGGATGCCATGGCTCAGTGCTGGAAATGCATCTTTGTAGCAAGACTGTCTGCAGTGTAGGCATTTAGGACCAGCCAAATCCATCCTGTCGTTACAACAGGGCAAAAGTCCATCTACACAGTCAATGGCAATTGGTGTGGCCATGTCCCTATGTAAATAATATTAGGAAAATTATTTTTTTTTTTAAGCCATAAAATCGTGTTTCATTTCTTTAATGGTAGCCAGAAGGAAGTGAGAAAGAAAATATGCAAAGACAATCTTTTAAATAATGTGTAGGGCTTTTCCCTCTCAATTCTGGGTATGGACCAATAAACAACAAAAAGATAAAAATTATCCTGAAATGAACGGTCAGGCATCCACCTTCTTTCAGAGGAAAAATTTTTATCAGAGTTTTTATAAGCACTACTTCTGCATATGAAATGTAATAGTTTAGCTAATT